TATATGAAAACATCTTTAACCTTCTTCTGTTTCAGATTTTCAAACTTGGGCAACACCTGCTATATGAATGCCATTCTACAGTCATTGTTTTCAATTCAGTCTTTTGCTAATGATTTGCTCAAACAGGGCATCCCATGGAAAAAAATTCCACTTAATGCACTTATCAGGTAAAATTCTCTTTTTGGGAAGGCTGTTTTCTCCTTCATTACTGAGAAACTTGTAATACTGAAGCACCTTTGTAGAGGGTAATATGCATGTGCAGGTAATAAAAGAGGTCCTAGAGCTTTCTGTATTTTGGAGTTTTACTTTAGAAATAGGAAGTAGGCTCTTAAAACTTGCAGTGCTGAGTTACAGGCATTCTTTTACTGTGTTTCTAGTGTCAGAGTGAAATGTTTTGTATTGCTTGTTTTGGTGCCATGTACCTCAGTACAAATGTTTTCAAAAAGCATTTTGGGTTGGCTTTTTTCCCCTCATTGTAAAAGATGTATCAGGAACAAGTTTATAGAACTTAATAAGACTTTTCTCTTTACCTTAAAAGATTGTGGATTTTTTTTTCATTTGGATCCTGTTTGATGATGGCCTCAACTGAGAGATCAAAATACTTGAAATGGAAAAGGTTAATTATATATGAGATATTTTCATACAGAACCCCTTAACCACTTATCACAGGAGAAAAGCTTTTAGAAACTCTTAAAATGAGGTATGAGTTTGAATTTGTTTCTCTGAAGTCCTGGAAAACCAATCAGTGTTTCATTGCCTTGACTTCTGCAGACGTTTTGCCCATCTGCTTGCTAAAAAGGATGTCTGCAGCCCGGAGGTTAAGAAAGAGCTGCTCAAGAAGGTGAAAAGTGCCATTTCAGCTACTGCAGAGAGATTTTCTGGGTACATGCAGAATGTAAGTACCATATTGTCTGGAAACAGTTAGGTGTAATTTGTTCAGTGTTTGGACTGCACTGAATGCCTGTCAAGCTTCAACTCTGACAGTGACTTGAGCTTTTGATTGAATGACAGTGAGTGCCTCATGTTTGTTAGAGCAGAACTGCCTGAGTATTGCTGAATGCAATGAGCTAAACAGACTCTGTGTGTTTGAAAGATACAGAATGAAGTCATAAAAATCACTTTGGTGCGTTCACCCTGTTTCTAGGACGCACATGAGTTCTTGAGCCAATGTCTGGATCAGCTGAAGGAAGACATGGAAAAGTTAAACAAAACTTGGAAGAGTGAACCAGTCCCTAATGAGGATAACTCACCAGGACGTGCTTCTGATGACCTCTCAGCCACCAAAGTTTATACATGTCCAGTTATCAGTAACTTAGAATTTGAGGTTCAGCATTCTATCATATGCAAAATGTAAGTGTGCTTGGCAGCTTTTCTCACACTTACCTTAGAAGATTAGGAAGTGTTGCCATCTGATGTGACTTCATCTGCAGGTTGTAACCAGAATTAAGAAGTATGTTCTTGCCCAGAGCTGGATATTTAGAACATATTCTACAGTCTGGAAGTGCTGTAAACCTCACACCACGCTGTCTGCTGCTACAGGCCTTCTTTAAACAGGCTCTTACCACCCAGTTCTTACATACCCAGTGGAAAGCCTTTGTGCTTTGCTCTTTGTGTATGAGAATAGAGGGAAAAGGGGGTTTCAGCCAAGTAATGTTTCCTCTTAAAGAAGAAAAGGGGAGAAGCCATGGTTTTAATTTGTTCTTTTCAAGGGCTTCCAGACAATTGCGTTTTTCTTCTCTCTTTCTATGTTATTTTGGAAAAATACGTAAACCAGTATGTCTGGTCATTCACTGCACGTGACCTGTGCAGCAGATTTCCATACAGGATGCTTCATTCCACAGAGTTTTCATTAACACAGAGATTTGGGAATATTACTTTGTGCATACTCCATTAGTCCCGTAAATAATTAAAAGTAAATTGCGTCCAAGTAATAGTCATGGAAGACCAATGACTCTGGGGTATGTGTTGGTTGTTTTTTGGGTTTTTTTTTCAAAAATAGCATAAGGAAAATGAGTGGGTTTTGTTGGTTTTGGTTTTTCAGATGGACTTTCCCATTTTGTTTCTAAATACGGCTTGAAAGTATTTCTGGGCTTTCCTTTCTGCTGGGCTGGACTTGCTTTTTTTCTCCTAAGAATTCTGAATGAAGAAGACGTGTTCAGCTACATAGCAGTCACTTTCATTTCCTGTGTACCTGACCCCTTGCCTCTCCAGAGCCTTCTGTATTTTTTTGTTCTTGCCCTTACACAAATGTTTCAACTTTTAAAGCCTCAAAAAAGAAATTCCAAGATCCAGCTTTGTCATAAGCACCAGTTTCATTTGTGTGACTAAAAATAGATTGATCAAGAGACATGTATTCCTGGGAAGTTACTTTACCATAAAACACGTCACTTGTCATTAATTTCAAGTATATTTTTCATCAGACTTGCATAAATGTGTTTCTTTTTTAGGTGTGGTGAAACGGTGACTAAACGAGAACAGTTTAATGACCTCTCCATTGACCTTCCTCGGAGAAAGAAATTGCTTTCTTCCCGATCCATCCAGGACTCTCTTGACCTCTTTTTTCGCGTACGTAGTTTGTGGTTTTTTGGTTATTCATTGCGGAGTATATGTAAGTAATCTATATATGGAAATGCTGATTGTGCAGCTGATTATTAGTGTCTATGACAGCAGTTGCAGCCACATGAGGTAATGAACTTTGCACTTTTTTAGACTTGTCCGTTAACAGCATACAGGGGTTTTTTTTGTAAAATGCTGTGTAGGAACCAACTGATCCTTACAATACTGATGTGAAATAGATAAACTTCCCTATTTTGTGCTGAAAGGGTTGAGGCATAAATGAATACAAAGGAGAGAAGGGAGGCTGTCAGATTGAGGTAATCACTCAGGAATTGCTCCTCGCTCTCCTGGGCTAGGATGCTTCAACAACTTATGTACCAGTAGTTGTAGTATTTGGATGCTCATTTTGTAAATAGAGCTTCAAGGTGAGGTTACTGAAAGCCACAAATGAGCCTTACATCTGTGAATTAGTGTTATATTCTGTCATATCTTGAGACAAACCTGTGGGTTTTCTCCATTTACAGATAGTGCTTTCAACGGATAAAATATTTGATGTGCTTACTCTTCTAAAAGCTGGTGCAGATCTTACAATTTAAAAAAATTCTTGCAGTTGTAATGGTGTCATTTGGCCTCACTTAAGGCAAAGAGATGTAGAAATGTTTGATGGCCAAGTCATGTAATTTCAGCAAAGTGATGCTTCCCCTTTTGCTGTCTGTTCAAAACTGGTGCAGCACATCTTTGATGAGTTTAGATGAGGAACAAAGCTTTTCAGGAACAAAGCAGAGGTTTTGAACAAGAGGGAGAAAATTTCATGGCACTATCCTCCATCATAGGTTACTAGGAAAAAAACCCAAACTCTGTGTTTGGGAGGGAAAACTATAAACCTCTCAAGATTGTCCCCTGTCCTTGGAAGTTATTTGTCTTAATGGTGGCTAATTCACTGTTTTCCAGTAAACTTGCAGGAAAAGTTACACTTGTATTAGTGGATATGCTGTCAAATTTAAGCTCTGCTACCTGTCCTTTTATTGGATGCCCTCTTTTTAGGTTATGTTGAATGAAGGTGACTGTAATTTTGGGGGTTACTGCTGTTTTGAAGACTGTGTGTGACAACCAAGAGCAGTGTGCTGTTTGTTGAGATCTGTTTGATGTGCCTTTTCTTCCACAACTCAGTTCTCTGTTCTGTTACACAGGCAGAGGAGATCGAGTATTCTTGTGAGAAGTGCAATGGGAAGTCTGCTGTTGTCACACACAAGTTCAATAGGCTTCCCAGGTAAGTGCTGACACCTGTTCCTCTTTCCTGGAAGCACATGTTACAAAAGTGCAGTAAAAGTCCCTCAAAGAGTAAAGCTGGGAAGACAAGATGGACAGGACGTACAGTGGTCAGCATGTGAGGAAGGTGCAGCTGCACAGACAGCAGTCTTCATGCTGTTCTTCAGTTTCCCTCTAAAGAAGTTCTCTTGGGAACCGGGTTTTCCCTTTCCTTGGGGTTTCTGGGATGTGAATGAAGCAGGAACAGTAAATATATTGTGGAAGTTTAATATTTTGTGCTCGTCTGACCTGATGGGCAGGACTGAGTTGGAGGCATTAGTGCCAGAGGTATCTAAAGGGTTTAGCTTGATTGGTTAGTGTTCCCTATGTTGATGCCTGTTTGCTCTCTCAGCAAGCATGGCACCTTGAAGGGTAATGGCTTGCTCAGTAGTTTCTGACCTCATGGTTAGGTTTTTAGTACATTATTTAGAGTGGAAATGCTTGGAGACAGAGGTGTAAACCTCATGGGGATGTAAAGTTAAGAGAGTCTTGGATGATTTTGTCTTGCCTCTGTCCTAGTCCCAGGTATACTGAAGTCAGTAACTTGGTGCTTAGCATGCATTTTGCTTACGCAGTGTATCGATGGAAGCACTGCTAAACCTTGTTCAAGTCTTTTAATATTAGCACAACACAAGTGATGATAGATCTGCATGATTTAAATAGACAGTACAAAGTGCAGCATAAGGGAGAAGATTAAGTGTAAAGGCCTTTTCAGCTTCCTTATACTGTTGTGATCAAAAGCTCTTTCAAAGAGAAAACATCATGACAGATAAACCAAATACACATCATGTACTGAGCACATTTCTCCTCAGTTTTGGGCAGATGTGTGATTCCTCCATCATAGACTTCTATATCTGGGAATGATTTACTAGCATCCCTGCCTAGAATGGTAATACTTCATTGTTTCCTAGCTCTCACTGTGTAGTAGAAGCGAGTTTGGTAAGAGCTGATTGCTTCTGCTTGACTGAAGAGCAAGGCGATGCACATAAAGCAGGAAGCCTTTTGAGTCAGCAGTCCATGCTCTATGCCATGCACAAAGTTGAGTGATGGACAGGAGAGTAATTACCTGTCTTGCCAGATAAGACAAGGATAGTGTTTGCCTGCCTCCCTGAAGTAATAATCTGGTTTGGTCCGGTGAATGCATTTGGTAAACAGAGTTACTTGGATCTTGAATAGGTTTTCTCTGACCTCGGTCTCGAGATTAACATTTATCCTTCTCTCATCTCTCTCAGGGTCCTGATTCTTCATCTGAAGCGATACAGCTTCAATGTAGCATTGTCTCTCAATCATAAAGTTGGGCAGCAGGTGGTTATTCCAAGATACTTAACCTTGCTTTCCCACTGTACGGAAAGCACCAGGCTGCCACTGACACTGGGATGGAGCGTCCATTCTGCAATGTAAGTGTACAACGTTCATCCATGCCTTGTTAACCAGGTATGCCACAAAGCAGGCAGTTCTCAGACCTCCTCCAGAGGATGTATGGGCAAGGAAACATTAAAATCATGCGGCTTCAGGTGTGTGCTGCTCACAATGATGTTGTCATAAGGACATATATAGAAAGGAAGCACTGGTTGGTCAGGCATTATCTAGGGAATATTTGGTAAGATAATATTCTTCATTGTCCTTGAAAATAACTTTCTGTTCTTTTTAAGAGCTCTTCTGTTAGTAATTTCTAGCATTTTTGCCTCTCAGTCTGAAATAATGTAGATGGCCTTTCCCTTCGCAACACACTTAACTCTGCTTAGAAAACATAAAATCCTACCTTTCCCTGCTCATTTCCACTCGCACCTCCTGCTGTCATTCATTTTTCATTGTCTTTCCTGTGCCACTGTAGTATCTGAGCCCGTCACATGCTGAAAATACTCTCTGCTTTTCCCTGTGACAATTATTTCTGTACATCTGCTTGTCCTGAGGCACAGAGATTAAATGTGCCCGTTGTCACACAGGAAGTCTGCGGTGGAATAAAGAACAAGAAACCCTCAGGTCTCTTGTAATCTCTGACCAGTGACACAGCCAGGGTATCCCTAGTGAATTAGGACACATCTGGTGTGTATGTTCAGCAGTGTGACAGGTGGTGGTGTGCCGAATGTTTAGTGTCATTTGAGATGTAAGTGGATGATTCCCAAGGGTTTGCTTTAACCGTAGAAATCTTAAACACAAGAAACAGCTTGTGCTAACCAGAGCCAAAATACTTGAAAATAGGTTCAAAACAGCTTTCCAGTGTTACTTGGTTTTTAAAGTCATTGAAACCATTGTGATTGACCTGGGAGTGGAAAGGTAACTAGGCTGGAGAGAAGCAGCCCTGGTTTAAGGGGGAAGATTAGAAAAGCTTTCTGCATTGGCCAGCATCTGTTGGATAGATGTGCAGTGATAGTGATGAACTTTGAGGAGCCCGGGAAAGGATTAAATGGAGCAGGAAGTCTGATTAGAAGAATCTAGGTAAGGGAGGAGAAATGAAGACGTGGGATATTCCAGAAAACTGGCTGGTCCAGACAGCAGCAGGAGACTGTGGTTTGGGAGCAGGAACTCAAGTGTTGGTGGGAATGAAAAATAAAGGAAAGAGTTGTCTTGACATGGGAACCCAGAGCCTTTAATTTGTGAGCTTGTCCCTAAGGGTGCCTCACTGAGAAGCGAATCAAGTTTAAAGGATTATATATGGTTTTGAACAACTGTTGTATATTTATAACATGACCAAGTTATTACTGTAAACCTAAGTAATTAGCAAGTACATAATAGTATTCTGGTGGTTTCTTTGGTAATGATTTGCATGCATAGCAGACAAGTAAATACTTATTTTTTTTAAAGACTGCAACTGCTGCAATAAATACTTTGCTTTTTTAATAGTTCCCGTCCATTGAAAGCCTCCCAAATGGTGAATTCCTGTACTGTAAGCACTTCCACACCTTGTAGGTGAGTTACAGCTCTGAAATGTCCATGGCCTGGGGTTTTGTGATGTAATTTCTATGGCACTTTAAAATTTTCTAGTTGTTGTTTTTAATATTTCCACTTTTTGCATATGTTTTCTATTTTTATATAGTGGCAAATTATTCAGCTACTGCCTTTATTCATATCTGAGTTTTATTGGTGTTACATGCTAGCTGAAATTAGCATCAATGGTACAACTTGCCTAGTTGACATGATCACCTTAGCACTTCTTTTGAGAGCCTTTGGGGACCTGTAAGTAAGTAAAGATGATAATTTTTTTCAAGCAGAAGGCTGAGAGTCAGAATGACAACTGGATTTAGTTTGTACAGATGATTTGTCAGTTATCTTAAACCAGCGTGCACATGTAGTTGCAAGTCACATATATAAGAATCAAAATGGTTTCTAATTCTGCAGCCTAGCTCTTTTTTCTATTCTGACTCAATGGAGCCAAAATGTGTGTTTCGGGGACAGATGGTTTGTTCCTTTAGTTTATTTGCAAAGACGAGAAAGCACTGGTTTTATAGGCAGTTTTGAAAGGGCAGTTTTTGCTGCAGTGATAAATGTGATATCACACTGAATGGCTTTGCATTGTGGAATACTTAAAGACCAGAGTTTCTAATCAAGCAGAAATCATGACTTCCCCAGACTCCCTTGTCTTGTGTTCTAAAGAAGCAAGAATTCATCCCGATGAAAGACCAAACAGGAAAACTGAAATTCAAACTTGTGCAGATTTGTGCTTTTTGTATCCTGGTAACGATGTGGAAGTCCTGTATCCAGCTTAGTAAACTTAAGAAGTCAAATGGTTTATGCCGAATTCTGCGTGTTACTGTGGGCTTGGCTCAGATGAGTACTGTCGGGGATTGCAAGGCAATGGAGTGCAGAATCCTTGGCCCTTAGAAGCAAGAGCCACACACTTAGTAACTTCTAATGTTGTACAGTGCTATCGAAGGCTTCAAGTAGGTATGTCAGTTAACCCAGTAAAATATACCTGTTCTGAAAACCTGCCTGCTGGTCATTGAGTTGTCACTGTCAGTTATTGCAGTTTGTTCTCCATATGGTGCTGCCCCACAATGTGAGAGCCGGGTGGAAGGCTTCTTTCATGGTTACTTCGAAACATGTGTATGATACTACAATGCTATGAAGTCTTATAGCCATGTTTTTAATTTACAGAAAATATACTTTCAAGTCAAAGAGCTCTACAACACTCTATGTAGATTCTGACAGCGATGATGAGCCATTGAAACGCTCTAGTGCCCATAGCCAAAGGTTGTGTAATGTACAGAGTAGAGATCAGCAGCAACTGCAAGAAGAGCCAGACAAGGTAAGGGAGAAAACCACAAACTTTCATATTCTAGATCCTCTTTGTGCTCTTGTCTGGTCTGTGCTTTTATTAGCATAAACAGTGAGTGAAATTGATGTCAGATAATGGGTTTTTTCTCCTAATTAGCACTGCAGTGCTGGAAGGGAATGCTTTGCTAATTGACCTCTCTGTACAGTTGCCTTAAGTTCCCACTGGGAACAGAGGTAATTGCATTTGACTTTTCAGGTTATGTATACCAGCTGCTTAGCAGTTTGGTCAGTCTTTTGGGCAACTTTCACTAATAATGTTCGTGGGCTGAAGTATAATGTGTTGTCGATAATAAAATTATGCAGTAAAGCCGTTGATTAAATTAGATCCAGTACAAGTTGGGCTGAGCAAAATATTCATTTGAGAGAACTTCTTGCACATACAGTCTATGTCCCCTTTCAAGTGTGGCTTTTAAAATGCTTTCAGAATCTGAAGCTAACAGTTTTTGGAGGCGGACATGTAGAAGTGTGAAGAGACCAAGTTCATTGGTGTGTGGTGCAGTTAACTCCAAATTGCCTTTGAGCTCTTCCTTGTGACTAGTCTTAATGTTGCCAAGAATTTTTTTGCCTCTGTCAGGGCAGTGTATTAGCAGGTTAGATGAGTTGTGTGGGAAGGAATGATGACCCAGAAGGGAAAAGAAGCAGCTTAGAGGATTATCTTGCAGTACCAGTTTCTTCTGTTAAGAATTGCAGGCCTAGTGCTTAGGACAAGTGTCCTGCACCTCTGCTTCTCTAAAGTTTTTGACAGTGTTCATGGGGTTATTTTAATCACGCAGAGACTCATGGTCTTGATTATGACATTAAAGGACAGGTGTAAAGCCGGATGAAGTGCAGTAGGTAACAAGAAGAAGGTATCTGTAGTTTCTGATCTGATGGAAAGCTCAAAGCAAGGATTCAGTATTTAATAAATTATAAAATACATAATGAGTATTAAGTTTTCAGAAGTCCAGAGCTGGGAAGGGCTGTGAGTTTGAAGCTCACAACTACAGATAAGAATGATAGTGACAAATCTGAGAAACTGCATAAAAATAGGAGGAGGAGTTGTTCAGTAGGAATAGGCTAAAGGTGCTAATCTTAGCAAGACTAATCAACTGTAAATGTGGGATGGGAACAGCTGGGAAGGCAGTTGGACCTTCAGAAAGGGCATGAAAGATGGCAGTTGGTGACAAAGTCAGATGGGTTGAAAACAGAAGTATTTAGACTGTAGCCTGCACATTGTGTGGAGTAACCTTCCTTTTTTAATTCAACATTGAGCTTTACTTGGAGGTCTGTATTCAGATTTGGGCTCAGAGTTATAGATTAATTGGAGAGAGGCCAGAGGAGAGTAACATGAATGGTCAGAGGTCTAGAAAGGAAGAGCAGGCAAGTGGTTTTTAGTTTGGTCTTTAGTTTAAAGTGTAACCTAAGCTCAGGACTTGTGACTTCAAGGAAGAGAAAGAAATTAATAAAAACATTTGAGCTGTTTTCTGTGCCCGTGGTGGATAGAAAAGAAAACTAAATTGCAGACAGTAATTTTCAGATTAAATGTTAGGGAACACTTCCAGATGCTCAGGATGTGTAGGGATGGAACGGATTGCTTTGGGAGGAAGCAGAAAACCCTTTCCTGAAGGTCTCAGGAACAGGGTAGGCAATTGCTGTTCCGAATGGCACAACTCTACCTGGCTGCAGCTGGGGGAAGGAAACAAACTTGTCTTTGAATTGTCTCTTACCTATAGAAAAGGTATTACAAACTGTCCTAAATAATTCTTCGAGTTTTGTTAGTGAGGAAGTGCAGGTAGACTCTATCACACAAGCCCTGTGAGTGCAGAAATTGTGGGAATAAAGCCTATTAATTTGAATAACAAACTAATTACAGGCTTTACAGCCTGTTGTGGAAAAGAGACAGTGATGGTGGTGATTCCACATAAATGAGTTTATTCTGTGGCCATGCACATTGGCCACTTCTCAACCACAGATCTGACCAGGCATTTGATACCATTAAGCAGGTTCTCTGTCCTTTGCCATGTTGTCCTGGGAGACCTGGTCCTGGTCCTTGGAAGTGGCATTACTGCTGCTGCACCATTTCCCTTGATATGATTCTCATAGTGGCTGTGGATGGGGGTGCATTAAGGGCTTGGCACTCACTTTGTATGGATGGTACATCCCCTGCCAGGCACTGCTTGCAAAACATCCCTGCCATGTGGGAGAACAGCTGGAACAGCATCTGCATACAGCATTGGGTTGTAGGGGCAAATAGCAGTTATCCAGTTAAAGTGGGCAGAATTGCAATTCCTGCGAGTTCTGTCTCTGCAGATGAAGTACTATTTGAAGTACTCCTTAAAAATGCTTATTTAAAGCAGCCTGTCTTAGAGCCTAAGCTACTTTAAATCTATGCAAATAGTGTCTAATAGAAAACTTGTATTCAAATAATGCACAGATGCTGCCAAGTCTTTAAAGTCCAGCCATGGAATTAGTGGTGGTTGTTGGCAAAGAGCCTGGAACTAGGGTTTGCTGAAGAGCTGGACCAGTTTTAATGTCAGTAGTCTACAGGTGCAGAGAGAGAAATCAGAAAGCTTAAAAAGCAGGTACTCTGCTTTCCTTATTCAGTGCATAAGTAGCTGTGAGGAGAGAGGTTTAAATTTGTCGCTTCTAATTCTTAGAGGGCATAATGTCTAGAACAAGCAGTTTAGTTGGCTAATTCATTTGCTAATCTTGTTTGATAAGGCAGTTTTAGTTCAGAATGTTTGCTGTGTAAAGCTAGTCTTCATCAAAAGCCATCATTGTTCATTTTAACAAAGTTGAGAGCCATCCAAATGCAGTTTGGAATAAGACCTGGATTAGTACAGTCTGACAGAAACTATTTTACCCCCCATTTTTAGCATAATATAGGAAAAAAATTTTAAGGATATGGTGAATTGTGTAATTGTGTAAATATGCATACATGGAGGTTAACGTCCTGATTAACAGTTCATATCAAAATGACTGATGTTGCTATAATAGTTGCAAATCACTCTAGTGTAGGAGTTGATGAGCATCAGTTTTAGGAAAATAACTAAAAAAAGAAAAATTCAAAGTAAGACTGAAATGTTTTTTCCTTCTTCCAATTTAAAGTTATTCTGTTCTCCTTGGGAAAGAATAATTGCCCCTTTCCCTAGGTAACTGTTTTCTTACTTGGTTTGCAGAGTCCTGCCCTTCCCCTCTATCCCCATCAAGATTTCATATGGCAAGTCTGCAGCACCAAGCCTGATTTTAATTGCTCTTCATACCAGACTGATTTCAGCTCCTATTCTTCCGTCCCTATGTTCAAGTTGAATTACTCTCATGTTGCTCCTTCACCCTTTGTTAACAAACGTGCCGTTTCCCTGCTTGTATCTCAGCACTGACTTGCCAAAGGCTTGAGGATTTGTCAGAACCTAAAGGGGAAATATGTGTTGAAGGAAAGGAAGAGGGGAAAAGTTATCTTGTGTATGTTAACCCACAGGGCCTGTAAAAACTGGTTGTAATTTATATTTAAATGCTATTCCTTTGGAGTGAGTGTAACTGCAAAGGTTGTCTGTCTATTGAGTCTCATAACTGTCTGTTGAATGCTGACAGAGCCAAGGTCCTGCTCCCTGGGATTAATAAAATTTAAAAAAAGTCTCCACAGAAATGTAAAGCTGATGTTATATACTTGTTTATTCAAGCACTTAATGGTAACTCCATTCATCTCTAGGGTTCAAAAAGAAGTAAAATGGAGGGTGATAAACCCGAGCTGAGTAATGCTAGTTTTGATGGGATGAGTGAAGATGAACTGCTAGCAGCTGTCCTAGAGATTAGCAAAAGGGAAGCTTCTCTGTCTCTGAGCCATGATGAAGATAAACCTACAAGCAGCCCAGACACTGGTTTTGGAGATGATGAAATTCAAGAATTGCCAGAAAACCTGGATTCTATGGAGATGGAGAAACCCAAAGCCATATTAGACTCAGGTAAGGCAAAGTAGCCATCTTAATTGGACTATAGCAGGCTAGAACAGCTTACTGGTAGCAGCAGGTTAGTAATGTCTGATGGCTCTGCTGGATTCAAGTGCTCTGCTGAAACTGCCTGACTTCCTTAGAGTTTTCTTAGAGCTTCCCTGTGTATAAAGCATTAAATTCATTGCATTGTGACAATGTGTTTTGATGTATGTCTGTCACCTCTCTGATGAAGGTAAGGTCATCTCCACAGTTTATTTCCGTGTTTTTTTCTCTCTTGATTAACACATGCTTCCACTGTTTCATGTACCAGACAATTCAAGTAACTTAGATTTGGCCATGTCTAGAACTGAATCTTCCTTAATCAGAAAATATTTTCATTTCCATAGTTGTTGCAGCCTGGGCAGCACAATAGCAGTGCTCACATGGCTGCTGTGCAGGAGTGATGTCTGGGGTGCATAAGACTAGAATGCTTTCGTAAATGCAGTTATTTTGTCACTAGTAACTAGTGGATTTAACTTTATCTCTGCATTTTTTTCTAGAACTTTTTTTATGTGAGAGCCTGAGACTCAACAAGTGAGTGATGGCCTCTGACCCAGAGACACAGTGAAGTACCAGGAGGAGCCTGTGTGATCTCAGTGTGTAGAAATTGAGTCTCCCTTTAGCCAACTGAAGGAAACAGAAGTATTTTATCATTTGTTGTGTGCTACATGCTTTGACTCACGTTTGTATTCCACTAGCATGGAAAAAGAGGACCATAATATGCTCTGGTCCTCTAAACTCCAGGAGGTGAAACATTAACAACAAAATGCCCCACTATGACCAAAAATTCCACTTGTTTCAGTGGACATCCCTTGGCAGCCTTGATGTTGGGAGGCAGTGTGTAAGAAAAGTTAAGTCTGTGATCAGCATGGTTTGTACCCTCCTTTATATGTGCTAGTGTTGTTTATGGTGTTGTGAGAGAGAGTGGTAGCCACATAATGTGTCTCTCTCCAGGTTTTCTTTGGAAGGTACGATGTAATTATGTGAAGGCTTTTTTGTTACACTTAAGCAAAAAGTATGTGTTTAATATTATATTATTTTCTGATTAAGACTGCAATTAAGCCTTCATATTGCATTCAGCTTTCTGTATTTGACTGTGCATGACCAAAACCCACAAGCAGTACCCAGAACACACAGCTGGGCGTTCGTGTGAGAGATGTGTGTGTTGAGTTACCAGTTGCGGCAGCTGAATGTAAACACTAGAGGTTCACAGTCCAATGTTCTGTTTAAAGGAAACTTAATTGCAAAGAATGCTTTCAGGCAAGTTGATTCTGGACGTGTTGATTTAACTTGGTCCGTTTCTTGTTACTGCTAGTAATAAACACTGAATAATTTGTGGTGCTTTGAAAAAAGCCTAATTTAGATATGACAGATGTTTTTTTCAGCTACATAGTCCTCAAATAATGGTTATGCCAGTCGAGTGAGTATTTCTTACAGTGGAGGTTTTTAAAGGTCATGTAATTCTGTTTTGTTTTTCATCTTAAGAGGATTAGACTGATGGATTATGGTTCTGGTTCTTGTAGTCTTGTATTTAAAGGCTCACAGATACTGAGACTGCCTTGTGTTATCCTTGTTAATAACTAATGAGCAGATATTGAAGTCTGCGTAGGGCAAAACTATGACATTTCACGTGTTGCTGCATGATTGGTGTTCAAGCAGGTCCTGACACTCAGTTTCAAGCTAATGGGAGAATCAAAGTGTCCTGCAACTGCAGGAGGTATGTGCAGGGGTTGAATGAATGTTCATTCCAGAGGTTCTGCATAGAAATTCTGCCACTTTAAAGCCAGTTGCTTTAAAAGTAAACTGAAAAGTTATAATCTTTGTGGCACCTTTAAAGCTATAGATAGCATTCACAAGATTAGGGCTCTGACCTGAAGCAAAAGGTTAACAGATTTAAACAGTGCTCGAAATTTGTGCTTTTCTCTGTTTTGCATATGATTTGGCTTTAATTGTGGCTTTGTCTGTAGTATAATATGCAATGCAGATTTTTGTAATCCATGGTTTCTTATCGGGAAATTCAAGTGTCAGCTTCATAGCTGCAGAAACCTAGTGGGGTGTGGCTTCTTGCTTTAGTTAAACTTGCTGCTTCTGAGTGAACATAAGAGGCTAAGAAGAGAGCAGGTTTGGGGTTTAATCAGATGGTTCCTTGTGCACCTATTAAAATGAGTGTTAAGACTGTGCTTTGGAGTTTTTCCATTTGACTCTCGTGTGGGTGTTTTAGGGCTGGTGAGCTCTCCCTGTCAATAGATGTCACTGTGCTGCAAGGATTGTGGCGATTTAAAGAGGACTTAACTGGTAACAGAAGACCCGGGAAAGCGCAACTTACTTTCTGATTCCTCAGGTCCTGCCAATTTCACTGAGATAACTAAAGATTTTGATGAGAATAAGGAAAACAAAACTCCAGAAGGCTCCCAGGGTGAGGTTGACTGGCTGCAGCAGTACGATATGGAGAGAGAGAGGGAAGAGCAAGAACTTCAGCAGGCACTGGCTCAAAGCCTTCAAGAGCAAGTAAGAAATAGTTTGCTTCCTTGAGTTATCTTCCCCAACACTGGAAACCTGACAGCTAAAGTAATTGCGTGTGTTCAGGCAGTTACTGCAAAGGGATTCTGCTGCTTTTTTGAGATAACCAAATAGAAAAAGGTTTGGGTTTCTTCTAGCTCCAGTGTCAGTAGAGCATTGACACTAGATATATCTGGGCATGTTTTGTTTGTGCTTTGAACACTGTATATCACATCACAGACCCACAGGTTTTTCAAAGTTTCCATGAACTTTTTTACACTGTCTTGTCACATTATATTAAAAATGATGATAAACTGCAGTAAACTGTTCCTCTGTCACCAAGAACGCAGCCCACCTTTAGCTTCCCTGGCAGTTGCTTCTTGCAGCGTGTCATGTCAAGACTCAGTGAAAGGGGAAGGTTTCAAAGCAGAGGCCATGTCAGGTCAGGTTAAAGATTGTCTGTCCCAGCCTTGTTTCTGGTACTAGCAAGTAGGAAATGCTTAGTGAACAATATAGGAACTGAGCATTTTTGTGATCCTTCCCTCTTAACAACTTGGAAAAAAGATCCCAAATAATTTCGTCTAAAATAAGTCCTTTAAATTAGACTTGGAAAGAACTGGGATCTCGGGGGGTGTGCTAACCATCTGCATTCCACTTGAATTTCAAGACCTGTAACTGATTTCCACAAGTTTAACCATTCTGGTGAGAACAACACAAGCTCTTAGCTAGGTCTTTAAATAGGTGCCCTTGTCTGCTCTCTATTAATACCAGAGCTGTCATGGTTTTCCCTATGAGATCTGATGTTTCCATGGCTCTTGAATTTTTTTTTCCCCTCCCATTACTCATTATGAGGTGCTGGTTGGTATGTTCCATGCCAGATGTAGCTTTGATTCAGCGATGCTGAGTAGTTTAACAAAGATTCCCAAATGCTTTAGAAACAGTGAGATAAAAGGCCTCATGCTAATAACATAAAACTGCCCTTTGAGTGTGGTTCTGCTACAGTTCTAAAGCAAAAATCTGCTATTCTAATGATTCAGGCATGGAAATGCAGTAGCTGTGGTTATCTTGATTTGAAATACAGAATTGGGGTGCTGTGTTCAGGTGTGCTGAAAGCATTCAAGCCCTGAACTAAAAAGCCAGCTCATTAAATATTGTTGGCTGGCTTGTAGCTCTGGGGTTTCTAGAGTGGTGGGAGGAACAGGGGCATGATATTATCCAAACATTAGAAGTGTTTGTTGACTTGAGGTTTCTTTGCTACTTGATCATGGTAATATTTTTAATATCTGATTGTTTAGTGGTGTCTCTTTGCATCCTGCCTTTGTGAATTACACCTGTTATGTAGAACCACTGGCTCTGCTTTCACATATCATAAAAATAAAAAGATCTGTCAGGATTTAACACCCCTGTCCTCAGCTCAGGCAGAAGTCTAAATTTTGCAGAAGTGTGAGGAGCTTTGTGTGTGTGTGACAGCTTTCCTTAGCGAAGGGTTGCAAATTCATTCGGATGCTTTTCAAATTAATGATCCAGAGAAAGTATTTGGTGTTAGTAGAGACTTGCTCTGCTGCATACCAAACTTCAGGAGCTTTGACAAGCCTTAATGAAGGTTTGTCCCAGGTTCTGTTGCACGGGGAACATTGGACTCTCGCTGGTTGCAAACATTCCTTCACACAGAACCTTTAATTTACAATGTCAAGTTTGTTGTAGAAACCAGAGCAGCACAGTTTCAATGGAAAAAGAGCACCACAAGAATTTTAAACAGTGAAATGTCTCAATGAGCTAAGTTTTATTCTCTTCCCATTAGGAGGCGCGAGAACAGAAAGAGGATGATGACCTCAAACGAGCCACGGAATTAAGTCTGCAAGGTGAAACTTATCTAACTTGTTCCTGTATGCTGCTGTTGAGGGAAAATTGATCTCTGTGTGTGAGTGCAGCTCCTGAATGTCAGTAAGACAGCTGGGATTCATGTTCTTTTGGTGTGTGCTTTGTTGTGTTTGGCTTTGCTCAAGGTCAGTTTCTCTTGTTCTTGATTGTGAAAGCAAATGCCAGGAAAAACTTACTCTGAAATATTACTTATTTCAGTCTCTTGAGTTTTTTAGTTAGATATAGATATGTGCAATATATTCTATGATTTATAATGCATAGTTAATATTAATTTAGACAGAGCAAAATGGATCTTGAAATTTTGCATTCCCTGCAAAAGCAAGCGTGGTAATGGCTCTAGTCAGAACATAAGGATTATTTCTTACTTGCATTGATATTTTAGTGCTGGTTAATGAATGTGCTGGCCTTGCCCAGGAAAATGAATTAGTGCTATATCTGTCTGATAGAGCATGGGAGGGAGAGAGAGCTCACTGCAAAGTATAGCTGCTGGGGGTGAAAAAAGAAACCCAAAACATACTATCTGTCTCCCCAAATCCAAAGAGCGTGGTAGGCCTCAGGCACTGTTTAACATTTGTGTGAGGCTGGCATGCAAGCCTGGCAGAGCGAAGTGTAACTGAGAAAAATTCTGCTCCAAAGAGGGAGAGGGAAGAGTAATGAAGTATTGTGTTAAGTTATTCATAGTTGCTCAGGCACCTTTAAAGTCCTTCAGTTGTTTCTGGGTGAACCTTTGTCTGCTTCTGAAGAGAAGTAAGTCGAATGCTCCTTAAGCATCCCTCAGCCTGAGCTCTGGCAGACTGTGTGCCCAGTCACTCTCAGGTCATCCTTGATTCATATCCAGGAAGAATTCAAGGCTGGAAATCTTTAATCCTCTTGATTTGCAGTTGCTTGGCTTAAACATGAGCATTGCTTTGCTGCTGTCTCATTTGTAAGGCATCAGCCAGCAGTTGGTCAAGGAGAAGATCATAATCTTGAACACAGAGCTGGTAGCATTTGTCTTAGAAAGGTTCCCAGTGATGTTGTAACTAAAGAATCACTGGTTATCCATTTAGCAATTCCTGTGGCAAGTGCTTCATGCGGAGACCTACCTGAGTGGCTGTTGGTTTCTTGGCTGTAGTCTTATCTTACAGCCCAAGTAAGTGTGGAAACTATCAGCATTCTCAGTTAAAGGGAATCATCTATAAACTTCCCAAGATTATGCTAATCTAGCATTTGGTGATTTAACAGGACAAGCAGTGTGAGAATCTGTTTGGCAAAACATCTCCATCATAGCTGGCGTGATAAGTTTCTTGAAAACAAACCAGAATAAATTCCTGGGCAGTGTCCTGTTAATCTCAACTTCTCATCCACCCAGGACTCCATAGCTTTAATTCAGCTGGTGAAAGCACAGCTACTTCTCCTAATGAGTACTGTACAAAGTCCTAAATTAGTTGGGTAGCTGCAGAACCCCAGGAAGTTTGGAACAGAGTGTACAGGGAGCAGTGGTGCCTTCCGGCTCTTTACAGAAAGCTGCCTGCATTTTGCTCAGCCAAGCAAACTGGAAGTTCCTGTGGTGTGCAGCCGTCTTACCATTGAAAACAATGAAAAGATGCCTGCTGCCAGCAGTAGCATTTTGATGCCAGTTTTAATTCAAAAATGCACTTTGCTAATGCAACTTATAGTTAAAACTGTAATTCATAGCTCCTTGTTGCAGAAACTTAGAGTTCACTGACCAGACTGGCTGTGCTGCTTTTGCTGTTGGCTCTGGCTGCAGACCACTGGTGCTCTGGAGCCAATTGGGTGTTTAAATACCCTTTTATCATCCAGCTGTCATTGCCATAGTGCCCTTTTGGAAAAGTATGATGGAGATGATACTAAAATTAGTTCCAAGATACTTAACTATTGCTCTGACAAGTTGGGGGAGAGAGAGTTTTTATTTGGAAATTCTGGTATCGCATTCTTTCTTTGAAAAGGAAGCTTGAAATTTTATTGTACCTGTTTATGTGGGTAGTTGTACGTCAACCTGTTGTGAATTCCCGTGTGGTCCACAGCTTCTCATGCAGTACCATTGTTTCCCTGCTATCTAGAGTTTAACAGCTCTCTTCTGGACAGCGTTGGTTCTGATGAAGACTCTGGGAATGAGGATATTCTTGACATGGAGTATTCAGAAGCTGAAGCAGAAGAGCTGAAAAGAAATGCTGAGGTGTGATCTATGATTTCAAAAGCCAGCTGAGAAATATACCTATTTTTTACCATCAGTTTAATGTTGGGGGTAGTTTTACAGAGCAGCTGTAGAGTCTAGAAAGGTCTTTTATGTTCAAAAGGGAAAATACAGAAAATTTGTATCCATAAGAGACTGTCCTATTGTGTTATTTTAATTACAAAACAAAACCAAAAATACCCAAAACAAAACAATAAAAAAAACAACCAAGCACACAGCTGCAGAGACCCTCTGAGTTTCTCTAAGATGTGGATAATGTTGAATTTTACACCAGGAATGTTCCAGTGCACATAAAGCACTTACAGAGAGAAAGAGGACAGGACTTCAGCCAGCATGGTAGTTTAGTCACACCACCAGAGGCTTCTAGATGCTGCACCACCAGAACTGAGAGGTTGTGGCAAGATTTTACTGCCACTAGGTGACACCTGACCGTACCCTGGGCTGTGCTGCCGGACACTGGCACACTCAGACTTCACACAGCAGCGCTGTGGAAGTTGCCTGCCTGGAAGCAGTACTGTGTCAAGGGGGAAAGGTTTAATAAGTGGAGTTTCTTTGAGCAGTTTTTTTTTTTTTGTTGCAATTCTTTGTCAAGTTTCTTACCGTTAAACTAAGATGTTTTAAGAGTCTTGTCAGCAATTCATATCGGTAACATTTCCTGGTCAGAGAGGATTAAAAAATAAATGGTCAAAAGCCAGTGAAGACACAGAGCATGGTGCGCACAAGGAGGGTGTTGTCTACTGACATCACAGGTGCCAGGACAAGAGAATCTGGGCTAAATATCTGGTACTAGCCTTCAGATCTGTGTACCATTATCAAGGGTATTTCCTTGATATTTCAGAAGTAAGCATGGTGTTCCTTTTTGGCTTTTCTGTTTATTTGGTGAATTAATTCTGACATCAGTGGAAGTCACTCAGGAAATGGTTGTTTAGAAAACTTTGCAGTGTGGGGCTTGTGTCAGCATCTGTTCTGAGGTCAGAGAGGCTCCTTTGCGTGTTCATTGGCTTGCTGAAAGATAAAATAAGATGGGAGGCTCTTTCCCACCTCTGGAAGGACTCCTTGTTTGGTGTGAACCAGGGTGTCTGTTTCTGTATTCTGTGATTGCATTGCAGCTTTAAGTATGGTAGCCAAAGCTGGTATCACGGGTATAAATCATCTTGTCCACAGGCTGCTTAGAACAAAGGTGAATGCTTTAAATTGTATTTCTTTAATTAGTTAAAGAAGTTTAATTAAAAAGCTTAAATTGTACTACTTTGTTTTTTTCAGACAGGAGAGCTTCCTCACTCCTATCGTCTCATCAGCATCGTCAGCCATATTGGAAGCACATCATCTTCAGGTAAAGGATATCATATTTTATTCTTCATCTCTTATCTAGCTTAAAAATCTGTAATACAGAATTACCATAGCAAAATTATTTATAGAGAAGAATTCAGGCAGCAAAGCAAGTTTTCTGTCACAATTGCTGGGAGGGGGAGCAGGTTGAGGATGTCATGGTGCCTAACTCTGGCATGTGGACAACATACAGCTTATGGGCTCTGTGGAGTTGCTTGTGCTTGTTACCAGCTGACTGTGGGAAGGGTGTAGGGACCAGGATCTTAAGGGTCTTATAGCATTGAAATCTGACACAGGTGGCTGGACCAGGGTATCTAGCTAATCAGTTTACTGGTCACACTGTGACCAGTGTGACAGTGACCATGGAAAGAAAGGTGTCCAGAGATGCTGTGGGTGCCCTATCCCTGGAAGTGTTCAAGGCCTGGTGGGATGAGCCTCTGGGTATCCAGGTCTAGTGGAAGGTGTCCATGCCCATGGCAGGGGTTTTGGAACAGGATCATCTTTAAGGTCCCTTCCAACCCAAACCATTGTATGATTCTCTGTTTTTAAGGTCATTATATCAGTGATGTCTATGATATCAAGAAACAATCCTGGTTCACTTACAATGACCTGGAAGTGTCTAGAACTCTAGAGGCCACTGTTCAGTGTGACAGAGACCGAAGTGGCTACATCTTCTTCTACATGCACAAGTAGGTGTCGGGGAATTTTGGTGCTTGTAATTGCCTGCTGTTTGTGAGGAAGCAGTCTTCTCCTCTTCCTCCAGTTTGTTGGAAGAAATCATATTCAGAATTCTGTGCAAGAATAGCAAAATTGGAGTGCTCTGATTTCAGAGGTGTGGAATTAAGTGTCAGTTTGCTGATGGCACCAAGCTGTGTGGGGCAGTCACAGCTGGAGGGAAGGGATGTGCCATCCAGAGGGACCTTGACAGGCTTGAGAGGTGGGCCAATGCAAACCTCATGAAATCCAACAAAATGAAGTGCAGGGTCGTACATCTGGGCCATGGCAATCCCAGGCACAGGTTGGGTGGGGAAGTAATTGAGACTAGCAACGAAGAAAGACTTGGGAGTGATAGTGGGTGAGAAACTCACCATGAGCTGCAGTATGCACTAGCAGCCCAGAAAGCAAATCGAATCTTGGGCTGCCTCAAAAGGAGTGTGGGCAGCAGCTTGAAGGAGGTGATTCTCCCCCTCTACTCTGCTCTTCTGAGACCCCACCTGGAATACTGCATGCAGTTCTGGTGCCCTCAAGATAAAAAGGACATGGACCTCTTGGAGCAAGTCCAGAGGAGGGGATGAAATTGACAAGCAGACTGGAGCACCTCCCCTATGAAGACAGGCTGAGGAAGTTGGGGCTGTTCAGCCTGGAGAAGAGAAGACTGCATGGAGACTTCATAGGAACCTTTCAATATCTGAAGGGCCTACAAGGGAGCCAGAGGGGGACTCTTTGTTAGGAACTGCAGCAATAGGACAAGGGGTAACACGTTCAAATTGAAGGAGAGGAAGTTTAGGTTAGATAAAAGAAAAAAGTTTTTTACTGCAAGGGTGTTCAAAGCCAGGTTGGATGAGGCCTTGAGCAACCTGGTGTAGTGGGGAGATATCTCTGCCCATGGCAGGGCGGGTTGGGACTAGATGATCTGTAAGGTCCATTCCAACCTCTAGAATTCTGTGATTCTATGATATTACTTAGGGTTTTAAGGGATGCATTAAATCATATTTTAAGAAGGGGATTCAAGGTCTCAGCTGTGCATGTGTTGCACCAAGAGTCACAATGGAGCTTGATGTCTTTTTCTTAAGTGTTGTGGTATTTGTGAATGCCCTTATCCCTGCTCCTGGTGGTTGTGTTGTTGCAGCCATGGTCCCCCAGGACACAGCCAAAATGAGGTCTGTAGGTAGAAATTATATCTTTTCAGGCACACAGAACTGAAGAAGGGGGGTTGTGCCTCAGTTTGTCCCCTTCTTCTGTCTTTACTGGTGCTTGGAGGTGCCAGATAAGACACCTCTCTGCCAGGATCCATGATGCTTGAGTTTGTGGATTAAATCCAGTTTCTAGGGCTGTCTTGTGTAGAGTTGTTGTACATAAGTTTCACTGTTGGCCTTTCCTTCTGTTCTAGGGATATCTTCGATGAGTTACTAGAAACAGAAAAAAATGCACAGCCACTTAGCATGGAAGTAGGAAGATCGGTTCGTCAGCCTCTGTGAAGAGCAAAACACCTTGTTCCTCCTTGAGGAGCAAGGAAGATTCTGAACTTGTGCCAGACACGCAGGAGTAACAAACAGCTCAGGGCCAAAACAAGAGACAAAAGCTAGAAATATGGGACGCTCAGTTTGTGGAACCATCTGTGCGAGTCCTGGGCCTGAACCACACGTTTGAACCTTGACATCCCAGAGTGACCCTCCTGTGGTGAAGTTTTTATTGTTTCTCAAATAATTTTGTCAGCATGGAGCCTTAAAGAGTTGCATCAAGCCACAAGACTACAGCTGCTCATAAACTGATTTAAAAAATAGTGCAAAAAGAGACTCTACTTTAAAAGCCTATTCACCTGTGGGACGTGAATGGCGAAGATTTACATATCACTTGGCGCTTTTGTTTTGGTTTGGTTTTTTTCCTCCAAGAGCAATTTCAGCAATAGACTCTGTAACCTGGCGTGTGTTGTGTTAGTAATATTCACTGGAAACCCAGATCACTGAGTAGGCTCTTGCTGGTTGTCTGGCTTACAGGCGTTTTGGAATCACTCAAGCTGATGCGTTGTGACATTCATGGGTTTGTGACTGCTCTGCTGTGTACATGCGGTTCCAGGAAACAAACTGTTGGTGCTGTGGAATGTATTGATACCTGGTGGCAGCTCTATCGGTTTTTTACACCATTCACTGTCATCTTCATTTAGATGTGAGATTATATATATGTGATTTCTTTTGTCTTGCAAATTTTATTATTTTATCTTGTTTTCTTTATGAGGATGTTGCATCAGTGCCGTTTGGAGAGGCAAAGTCTCTCGTTGGGTGTGCGGTGTTTCACTCTGGAGCTGTGTTGCTTCGGGCTGCTTCGATGTGACTCGGGGGTAGCTGAACAGCTGGAGCAGACAGAGCAGTGGCAGAGGATGAGCAACA